CCCCCCTATTTCGATACAAGCAAAGAAAGAAAATAAATAGCAAAAAATATATATTTAAATAAATAAATAAAAAGTGAAGAAAAAAGTGCCTATAAAACAGCATAAAACCTTCCGCCTTTCTCACTCATCTCACTCTCTCTCTAAAAACTTTTCTTCTGCTACCAAATTTTGATACAGCACACTCTTCGTGCTCTCCGCCACCCTTTCTTTCTCTTCTTCCCCCAATTTATCAGATCCATTTTTCTTCTTATCACTTCACTAATGGCTTCCTTTACTGCTTCCTCCGTCTCCTTCTCCTGCATTTCTTTCTCCAAGCAAAACCAGGTTCATTTTTTTTTAATTTTTCTTTTTCATGAATTAATTGTGTGTTTTATATATATATATATATGGTTATATACATTGTGTTCAGTATAGATCTGTGTATGAGATTTCGTCTTTCATTCTTCTAATCTCTGATGTTTGATCCGTTACCTTTGTTTTAATTGACTCAATAGTAATTAGTGTTGATCCTTTTTCAGCTGGATCGTGACTTGTGAATTTTTTTATTTATTTTTAAATGTAAATCTGTGTTTTGCATAGTTTATATATTGATTTCCATTTCAAAAATCTTCATGATTCAATGTTGTCGATTTTTTTCTGATCTACTGATTATTGTACAAAAAGATAGTTTTTGAGCTCTGATTTTGTTATGGATTTCTAAATAAAATGCAAAATATTGAAATTATTTTGATTGTCACATACCAATTTGATTATTTATTGCTATCGTGCTGAAGAGGTTCATTTTATTTTGTAATTGTTTCGCTGGTAATTATAACTTTTTCGATCGAAGCAGGTCTCGAATTTGAGGAAGGCATCACTTCCATTGAGTGGAAAGGGCTTCTCTTCTCATAAGCTGCCTGCCTTTCGTTTCCGTGTTGCCTGTGCGGTATGATGATTATTAATTATCCGTCTCTACTTTTATTCATTGTTTAAACTGATTATGTCTCGTGCAAAATCGTGAATTTTTTTTTATCGAAAACAAAAAAAAAGAACCGAAATTGTTTTGGTTTGTTAAATCTTCATTAACATGCAATTTACTTTGACTTAATGATGTTTGTAACAACTCGAAAATGGTTCTCTGTTATGCAGGCGAAGCCAGAGACGGTGACGAAAGTTGTTGAAATTGTGAAGAAGCAATTGGCTCTTCCAGCTGACCGTGATGTCACTGGTGACTCGAAGTTTGCGACACTTGGCGCCGATTCTCTTGACACGGTAAATTCTTATGTTGTTATATTACAATGTTGTGGTACATTCGGTAAATTAAAATCTTTAGTTAGGTACTCAGCACGAAATATCAACTATTCAGTATGTTGATACCAGATCAATCTGTAAACCTGTATATTACACCACCTAAATGGCATCGTTGTGTTGTTATTGCATAATATCAAGTGATATTAAATGTAATGACATATATGTTTTCATGAATATAATATAATGGCATATAAGAGTTCCTTCGTATTTGATCACAAATTTACTTGTCTAGTATATATGAAACATGCTTTTGTAACCGCCATAACAGAACATAATGCGATGTTGGTAATGCCGTCCTGCTCTAATCCAACTTTGTTCGCTAATCCCATTTTTGAACATGTTTACGAGTTTCTGGTAATGAGTTATTCGACGTAAATGCTCTAATCTTGCTATAACAATTGTGAACTAAAATGCTTTTCTGATGTACCAAATGCTGTCAAAAAATCCTCTTTGAAGAATAAAAATTCACTCATTCTTCACATTTCGAATAGACTCATTTCTCATTTTTTGGTTGGCAGGTTTCTCTGCACTCCGTTTATTATTAAACCTGTGAAAGATTCTTATTTTTTGTTTTTTTTTTGCACTTTTAACTTTTTAAATTGCCGTAAAATTCAATCATAACAAATATTTATCTCCATATAGGTTGAGATTGTGATGGGACTTGAGGAGGAGTTCGGAATCAGCGTCGAAGAAGAAAGCGCACAGAGCATCGCCACCGTTCAAGATGCTGCTGATCTGATCGAGAAGCTCTTGGAGAAGAACTAGAAGAAAATAATTAAGCCTTTTACTTAGCTTTGCTAGAAAAAGTTTGTTCGTTTTTTCTCTCCTTTTTTTTTCCGCAATATCTTATGTTGCCTGTTATATCGAGCGAACTTGAGTACCTTGGCTAGAATGAACCTTATTATCTCTATTTATTTCGAGACTTTTTTTATTTCTTTGGAAGAACTAAGCTTGTTGGTCTTTGCATTTTCCTGTTAGAACTTCGACCGGTCTTTATATAGTATGTTCTAAATTTTGCTTCTGCCGGCATATGTTTTGATCGAATATCGGTAAATTATGAACAACTAAGGTAAGGTGTTAACTTGGGAAAATAATAATTTGTTTATTTATTAAAGATTTAATTGTAATATTTTTAGATACTACATTTGTAAACTGTAGTGAAATATCATTTGACACAATCATGAGAATTTTGAATTATGAGTATATTTATGTAATAATGGGGTCCCTTTTCACATGCAACTCCACTTGATTACAACCCATATTCCCACTTTTGCCTCTAAAAAATTGAAGAAACTCATCCCAAAAATTTATCTTGTATTTTATTATTTTTTTTAATAATTAATAACTAATTATTAGAAATGTATTAGCTAAACAAAAACATAATAAAGAGTGGATTATTGAAAAAGATAAGCAATTTACACTAGCTAGTTCATAAGAAAATGATTACATGCACTATCATATACACTAGAAAGTAGGAAGAAACAAAAACAAATTAAACTTCAATGCTGGAAAAAAAAATGAGTACCTCACACAATGAAAACCACCAATAACCAAGAACACAAGAACCCCTTAGAAAGAAGAGCACCAAATCCTAACCCTTTCACTAAAATTCGAGAAACCGCAGACGATTCTTGCAACAAGCCAAACGGGGCGAATGCAGTATCGAGACCCGTTAAATCCGGGTTGGGCGGGCTACGAGAGGATGGTATTGTGGGCATAAAAGAACCCGTCGGAGGATCCGCCGGGTCGCCCCGCGTGGAAGGCAAGAGAGGAGCAATTTCAGGTGAGAGTAGTTGAGGCAATGATGATGAAGCTATTAGTGTGGGTGAGGAGGCCACAGCAAAGATTGTAGTAATGGCTGCTGCAAGAAATACTAAGGAAGAAGCCATTGTAGTATATATATATATATATAGTGGGATGAACAAGTTTGATCAAAATAACACTATGATTGAGGAAATGTAAAAAAGGGTTCTTTTGAAATCAATAGATATTATTGGGGTTATAAAGTGCCACATGAATTTGTGATCATTGGGGAGTTGATTATATATATATATTGTTTGTGTGTGTGTGTGTGTGTGTGTGTGTGTGTGTGTGTGTGTGTGTTGGGATTTTGCATGTGGAGGACAGGTGGAGGGGGAGAGGTTAAGGTTGTTTGGTAGTGAAATTGGTAATAATTTCTTGAAATATGAGATTGAAATGCTAGCTTGATTGGCGCATGATTCCTTTTTTCCCATCCCGTGATGGAAGAAGGTGAGAAAGCACACACCAATGTGGGTGTGTGCGTGTTTGTGTGCTTATGAATATTAAAGATCGACCACGCGGTGTAGCATGGTATAGTCTAAACCAATTTTTATTTCTTGAAATCAAATGAAATTATTGCCAATTATTCCACACTCTAGCTCTAGAGTGTGCAATTCTGTCAAAGCTACATACATAATAGATTAGGTGGGCAACTCTTCACAGTTTTACACCGTAGAATAAAAGAGTACTGCAAAAGTGTTCGTTAGACCAACAACTTTATTTCGAGGCCTTGTCCTTTTCCTGATTTATGATTCAAATTCCGTTTTTAATATAATTTGAAAATTTTCTAATTATAAATAAATAGAAAAGATATATCATATATTAATTTTTCATATCTTACAAGTTCATTAATCCTTAATCAGTAACCGAAAGAGTGAAATTACATTTTTCACCCCTGAATTTTGCATCAATTTAACATTTAGTCCTTCATGTTTCAAGAATTTAATAATTTTGATCATTTCCATCAATTTATTGTTAGTTCGTCAGTTAAGGCAGTCATGGGTACAAGCTTTATTCCATTATTACTAACGAAAAATTGACGTGAAGAACTAAAAGTGTTGAAATTATTAAATATGAGGCACCAAATGTGATTTTTTATGAACATGGGGACCAAATGTAAAATTGTTGCAAACTGAGGGACGAAAACTGAATTTTTCCCACCGAAAGACAACACTATTTACCAGAGTGAGATATATGCATGATAACAAAAATTGGATGGTCGAAGAAGAAATGGTGTTGCCATTCAAAATATTTCGTTATGATACAAAACAATATTACATAGGTACTGTAATAATAATGAAAGAATAAAAAAGCATGAACAAAGACTGTCACCATCTGCTCTGATACAGCTGATGCACACCTCCAGCAATGTCACTCCTGCTTATCTCAGCAACTATTTTAGTTCCTACGAAGACAGATAATCAAACAGCTGAGACAGAGAGAGAGAGAGAGAGAGAGAGAGAGAGAGAGAGAGAGAGAGAGAGAGAGAGAGAGAGAGAGAGAGAGAGAGAGAGAGAGAGAGAGAGAGAGAGAGAGAGAGAGAGAGAGAGAGAGAGAGAGAGAGAGAGAGAGAGAGAGAGAGAGAGAGAGAGAGAGAGAGAGAGAGAGAGAGAGAGAGAGAGAGAGAGAGAGAGAGAGAGAGAGAGAGAGAGAGAGAGAGCAACACAAACCTCGAGAACTGAAAGCTAGCGAGGTACTCTCTGTAACTCAAAGAGCCACCTGGGAAGAGGCATAAGCAACACCTTTTACGCTAGAACTTTTAAGACTCGAAACAATTGCATCAATTTTTCGCCCAGCTCAGATGAAGAAATGGATAGGATCATCGCATTCAGCAAATACTGCCGACAAGAAAAGCCGAGAGCGTGCAGAATTCGCTCCACCACCAAATGAGAGATACTACCATGAATCCCCGACTCAAGTAACAAAGAGACCTTGTACAGATTCATTAGAAAGTGCATCGTTGCTTCTCTTGGAGCCGACTTGAATAACAAAACCAAACATTCCGACGCCAGGTCAGCAATATTGACCTCACATAACTTGCTCAGTTCTAGCAAGACTCCCACGTTGCTGCCGAAGTCTACTATATCTTTGATGCACTGTTGATTGTCAGTAGTGCTTTCATTAAAGCCATCGTGTAAGAGTGTGGGATTCTTTGCATAGACAAAACCTGTCCTGGAGCTTATCGAGCGCAAGAGGAAAGCTTTACACAAACCAAGTGTTGGCTCGATGAAATCTTCCATCTCCTTTGCGTAAACAAACTCTAAAAGATTACCAATCTTTCTCACTACTTTTAATTGGGATATAATCTTGGTTTCGAGTTCTGGGGCCGATGCTAGAGCCAGACAAAGCATTACATTGCTGACATTTATCGCCGAAAAATCTCCCAGAAGAAATTCGAAGCACTGCGAGACTGCTTTCATGTGAAGAATGTCTGAGATTTTAATGTAATTCGACTCGATGAGCATCACAAGCAGTTTCTGAGCATACATAGGAATGGGGTCTTCGTCCTCAATGAAAGATGGGTATAGCGGGAGGAAATGAACATTAGACACGGACTTCAAATCTTCGGACCTTTCTCGATCCTCTGATGCTTCATCCAGGAAAAGGACCATCACATCAAAGAAAATCTTCAAGCATAAAAACCGGGCATCTCCATCTTTGTTTCCTTTATATAGAGCGGCCAGGCTGGGAAGAATCTGGTGGATGAAGACGATGGGGTTATTTGTGATTGATGTTGGATCCTCCGAGATTGATTCCAACACTCGTAGTAGAGTTATCTGAAAGTCATCCCTGCCCTGAAATCAAATAATAAAGTAGATGTCAGTGAGCAAAATGTTACCTCGTTGCATATTACGAAGTAAACCCAAATAGTGGAGAAAGCAAGGTTTATGTAATTGTAACATGCTTGAATTCTGTGTTCAATAAGATAAACACAAGCCCTTGACAAAAAAATCAGAAAAAATAACTACAAAAGCCAAAGAAATAAATCCGGGTCAGAATGCAGTTAAAGACCGAATTATCCCATCAAACTACAGATATAATAAGGATACAACGCATTATATCATAGTACAATTTATTTGAAGAGATGTTCAAATAATGAATATGGGCAACTAGTGCAAGGAAGAGTGTGCTGAAATAAGTGGCTGGACTGAAGGTGAACATAGATCATGTGAAGTAGGAGAATCCCTTCTATGTAGTATTGATTTCCTAGTGCAATGGAAGGTGATGCATAACTAAGAAGAAATATATGAAATGTATTATCTACCTGGAAAGGCACCTCTGTCAGTTTAAGTAGATTTGCAACGAGCTGTAGAACCTGTGGAGAGGCTACTGAATTCTTGAATGAAGAGCTTCCTAAGAGATGGAGAACCACAGGAAAGAAATGAATACTGTTCTTTGGAGAACTTCGACTGATGAGACTACCAATTGGCCCATGGCGTCTGCCTCCCATAAGTTGCTGAATATCTCCCGTTATAGTTTCCAGCAAACCTGGTAGAGTTGACACCACAACATGCACAAAAGCATTTAGGCAGTGCTGAACATATTTATCTCTCTCTTTTGCAAGCCTATCCACAGCTGATAGTAATCTTGCATTGCAAAAAAAGTGCGAGAGACATCGCTTCCCGTTTTTACAAAGTAGAGCCACAAAGAGGAGTGCCTTTCCCTTCAGAACTTCGGTTCCCTGCTCAATTAGAGACAAGAGAGATGGAACAAGACTCTTGTCTTCCATTATGGGAAGAAGGTGACGCCCAACATTTGTCAGCAAATGGCTTCCAAACATTGCCATGTTTAGGAGGTTCAAACAGATTTGCTGCTCACGTTGATTGCCCTTAAAAAGACTGGAAGCAATCTCCTTCAGAGGAAGTTTCTCCATAACCTGTTGAATGCTAGGTGGGCTGAAGCGAACCAGACGCACCAAACATGACGCTGCAGTGAATCTCATGGTTTCTTGTTTTCCTGGAGCCCTGTATATATAACAAAGGTTGTTAATGACGTCTTGACTGGTGAAACGAGTGGCCCAATATCCTCCATGACTGGAAATGTTTTCAATCGTTCTCAAAGCATAAAGCTGAGTAAGATCATCCTCTCCTTTCCGTAAGACAGATGAAATCAAAGAGATTAATGAATTAGGGACCTGAGAAAGTTGCACAGAAATATCATATCAATACAGCAATAATGGTAACAAGTGTAAAGTGTAAACACTTAGAAGACAATATCGATAAAAGATAGAAGTGGACATAAATGTATTAGCTCTTAATATTAGATTCAGTTATATGGAGGCAAAGGAAGAAATTACACAGACAGATTAATACGTTCCAAAGTCATGGCAGTACTGAAGAAGCTAACCTGCCAGCTAGAAGAGGGTCGGCCGTCTTTGGAAGGAGATTCCTGGGGATTATTATCCCTAGCTGGATCGTTTAGAGTAGATATGTAAAAGAGCAACTCACCCAAAGCAGCCATAGAAAACCTTCTCACTTTTTCCTGTCTGTCCCTTAGGCCATCGGTTAGAGCACCTAAAATTCCAGAATTTGCCAAATCATCTCCAATAAAAGTGGAATGGCGAATCAACAGGCCTATAAGTGATGACATTTGTACACGCAAAGCCAAAGCCTTTGACTGCCTTAGCATTTTTATAAGAACTAGCATTATTGGCCCATTGGTCAAAATATTGGCAGCATCGGCATTAGTGCTTAACATCTCAAGGTATCTAATAACATTTTGCTTCTCGCCATTAACATTCCCGTTCAAGACACCTATAATTTTGTTATACAGAATATCCAATTTATCCTTAGGCATTTTCGTAAAATCAGGTGGAGGAAATGCATGAAATGGAAGGGGAGGCAATGCATCTGATCCTTTATCAGTTTTTCTGCTTGGCATTACTGGCCTAACTGAGAGATCGGATGGATGCCATAGCACCTCTGAGAGGTCTGAAGATGATTTTACGGATTCAAAGTCAAGGGCCCGCCCAGAAACATCTTTGACCCTTGGAGTCTTCAGTTGAGGACTAGCACCAGGTGTTGTGGCTGCTGCTGGGCAGACTTCCATGTCTTCTGATTCTTGCTCTTGTGCTTTTGAATCATCCAGTAAAGGTGTGTCAACCACATTTGATGAGTCTGACTGGCTTAATATGTTATTCATTTCTTCAAGATTCCCCTCATGCTTGCTTGGAGTTGATAAATTATCTGCAGCAGTAGCGGATGCACTGTCAGACCCTTCAGTTTCATCATGCCCCTCATCTTGTGTATCCTCATCAAAATCCAGTTCCATGTCATTGTTTTCAATTTTGACTTCTGCCTCATTCTTAGAGCTATTAGGCAACGGCCTTCGATAGTTCTCTTTCTCATTTTCCCTCTGCAGGTTTGATTTCGCAATTCTGGAAAGCCGGAGGAGATTCGCACCACCCATATTATTTGAAGCACCCCTGTGCTTTCCATCGGCTATTCTTCCAGAAGGCTTGGTTTGAGTTTTACGGCCGCTACCCTTGATCAGTGTTTCTTCCCCTTTCATTCCAGCAGTGAAATTTTCGTCTTGTTTACTGGGAGTTCTTGAATCTTTCCCACCGGTGCTGGGTGGGATCTTGTTTCGAAGAGGTCTATCTCCATTGCGCTCTGTCAGATGTGGTTCTGAAGACTGCTCAATCATACTATCAAAAGCAGGCTGAGGAGGTAATGTCAATGGAATAAACTTTGTCTTCCAGAAAGCATGACTACATAGTTCGGGCCATTGTATCCTTTCAGCTGGATCTTTGATCAATAAAGAATTTATCAAATTCACAAACGGGCGGGTTGGAGATCCAGGAAGAGCAGGAGTTGCATCTGAAAGAATTGATTTTGCTAACTGAGTGAACTCCTTGTCAACAAATGGAGGCCTTCCGGTATAGCACTCGTATAGCACACAACCAAGAGCCCAGAAATCCGAAGCATATGAATGAATTCCTCCATCTTGGAACAATTCAGGAGCCATGTAACAAGGAGTTCCACGCTTTGCTTGAGGTAACTACAGAGGAAAACGAAAATTGTGAATAGTAGATTAAAGGGAAAAAGTGAAAAAAACTAATATATTGTCTCAGCTTGTTGTTTGACTTGAAAACTCACCTGGGAAGCAGAGGTCATGGATATGTCACTTAGTTTTCTTGCTAATCCAAAGTCGCATAGCTGCAGTAACATTAAGAAGAGATCTTTGTCAGCATTTTCCAGAACACTTCATCTATGTGAAGGAGAGAAAACATAATACCTTTGTACGTCCATTTTCATCCAGTAGAATGTTTGATGGTTTCAAGTCACAGTAAATAATTCCTTTTGAATGCAAGTACCTATTTATGAGGTCATTAGTAATTGAAAATCATCTAGTTACAACAATGAACAAGAAGTCTGATGCAAAACGCTAAGTCTTACTGCAGAGCTCTGACAAGGTCATGAGCCAAATCGTATACTGAATCTTCAGGAAGCTTACCATCCTGCCAATCAGCCATGAAACCGATGTTCAACACAGTAGATATTAAACAATAAGGTTCAAAAAAGAATTTAAGGTCGGTAAGAACAGTATTTAAAAGGAGAACTCTCCAATCCATATTATGAAGTTGATTAACAGTCACAGTTTTAACTTTCAAGTGACAAAGCAAACCAAAAAAAAAATTGGAGAAATACCAGGACAAGGAATTTGTAAACAAATTTATAAAGAAATATGGATCTTATTGCAGCTTTTATTCAGAGACAGGTTACACTTTTTTAGGGGTCTCAAATAAAACAAGTTGATATTCATTAGCATCTTGATGCAGTCAAAACAAATTGTGATACACGACTAGTTAAAATATCAATCACCTGTTGCAATAAAGTCATTAGATCTCCCCCCACACAGTACTCCAACACTAACCATAAATGAGCTGATGTCTCGTACCTACATTGTCAGTCAACAAGAAAAAAAGGAGTAAGAATAAACGAATCCAACTAAGGCATCATCTCTTTCTAGCATTTCGTAATTCAATGAGCCCAATTTGTACTTGATCTGCCAAATGAAAGAATGTTTCATATTGTCGTGTAGCATCCTTACCATGAGTAGAACTTCAGCACATTAGAGTGTTCCAGGGTGTGAAGAATCCTCACCTGTAACCAAAATATAACTAAAAACATTAATAACTCAGAAATAAATCAATAACAAAGGGGGAAGTAGCTCACATATTTATGGCTGACAGTTTGAGTTCTTGTAATTATGTGGATTCCTCTACTATAGAATCCCCATAAACAAAAGTGTATATAATAAATCATTTTTAAAACACTTGCATTCAATCTACTCTTTGTTATGAGATGCTCCACTAATTGACAAGCGGCTCGTAAACTGAAAAAGAAGACTTACGTACTTAAATAGAGTCACTGATAAGGTTAATAGGTTTATGATTATGGATTTTAAGGAACTTTTCCGGTAAGTATAAATATGGGTACCCTGGTAGCCAGTAAACCGAGGCCAGAACCTGCATTTGCAGCTCTGCAAGTGCGCCATTTAGAAACACGGGCCTAAGCAGGAGATATAAAAAATAATCATACAAACTGTTCGATTTTGGGAAGGACCAGATAATAAACTATATTTTTACTCGCCGTCTACTTAAATCAGCCAGCTAATATTATAATAACAGAAACTACAATTGCACAAATTTTAGGAATTACACTGGGCGTATGAATCAGATCAGCAGTTCGAATTACCCAAAAAAAAATTAAATCAACGGTGGCAGAAATTGTTGGTACGAATGCTTACTTCCTGAAGAACCTTGCTCCTGTGAGATTTATCCACACTCTTAATCGCGAAATACTCGATCGTCTTCTTCTTTCTTCCTTTGTACACAGTCTGTCGCCATTGTAAAATTTCGAAGAGATACAGTTAACAAATTGAGATTCACACCCTAATATAAGCAGAATTTTTCTCGTAGCTAGAACAAGCAATTGAATTACAAATTTACCGAATATTTGCCGCGGCCGATGGCTTCATAGATATGGTAGTTGTTCATGCTTGCGCTTCTTCAAATCTGAGCCAATCAGATTTGAAAATTTCTCTGGTGTGAATGAGCGAGTTTAGAGAGAGAGAGAGAGAGAGAGAGAGAGAGAGAGAGAGAGAGAGGAGGGAGAAAGAACTGATTGAAAATTCAAATTTACGATAAATGAAAAGGGGATATAGTTTACCTGTAGCCAAACAGTACCCAAACAAAATTTGAAATATTTTTCAAATCCTTTTTCTTGTTTCTCAATTTGAGTTTTAATTAGGGTTTTTTGCAAGAACCACCCCTGTGTAATCTTTAATTGCTAAAAAGGTCCTCGTATTAAAAATATTAGCAAAAACCCCCTTGTAAAAATTTGTCAGAGCTAATAAAGTCCCTAATTGCTTATTGTGCGTCGCACGCGCGGGTTGTGAGACTGGGTTGTAGTATTTGACCGGCAAAGACTTAAAATCCCTTCTAGAAATTTAAAAAATTACAAATCCACCCCCAAAATTCCTATAAGCCCAAAACAAAATTTTCCAAATTATCACTTCAGTCCCTCGTAGTTTATGAAAAGCCCTCTTCTTCACTACACCTCAAACCAACCACCACTGTAATGTTAAACCCCAGCTCTCCCATGACCCATCACCTTCGCTACGCCGCCGCCTTACCATTTTCCCCTGCCGTCTAGGATTGCCCCTTCCACTGTATCTCCATTCACCCTTCCACTATATGATACAAATCCGAAATAATCGAAGCAAAACTCGCCCCAATAATCCTCCGGCGAAGGGCTTTTGAGATATTTAAATTGAGTTTTTTAATTTTTATTTTTTTGCCGACTCTTCCTTTTAGGTGAAATCAAAATCGCGCCGGCGCGGTGCTGATGGGGAGGAAGAGTTGGGGTGGCGGGGTTGGGGGATCGATGTGGTGGTGCTGGTTGGGGAGGGGGTGGGGGTTTGGCTACGGGAAGAAGATGCTTTTCTTCCTGTCAATTTTTTTAAGGGTAAATTACAAACACCCCCTGAGGTATGACCAAATTACAAAAACACCCCTATTGTTTGGATAATTACAACCACCCCCCTCAACTCATCAAATTTAGTGGAATCTTCGAGATTATATGGAATATTATCACTTTTGTACCCGTTTTATCCTATTCAAACTCTACATTATGAAGCAAGATGACCATAATATGTGATTTTTAGCTTGTATATATCAGTTTGTGGTGCATCGAAAACTGTATTTTTTACACAAAGAGTACAAACTAGAGCACATTTCACGGAATGTAGATGACTATGTTAAATTTGGCACCATAAAGGTAAGAAAAAATCATAGTTGCGGGGGGTAGGTGTAATTATCCAAACAAGAGGGGGTTTTTGTAATTTAACCAAACCTTAGGGGGGTGTTTGTAATTTACCCATTTTTTAATGTATATAATTTATGTTTGTTTATTTGTTTAGTTGAAATATTGTTTAGTTGAAATATTATTAAAGAAGAATTAGGGGTAGTTTTGTCCTTTCATTGAAGTCAACATCTAAATTTGATGAAAGTGGTTGTGTGCTATATAAAATAGACTATGGGGACGTATTTGCTAATTATTTTAACACGGAGTGTTTTATGGCAATTCGAAATTACACAGAGGGTCTATGCTATTAGCTCGTTTTAATTATTTAATTAAATTTATGTAAAATCTTTTTATTTTAATTTTGTGTGGTGACAATTACTTATTATCTCTACCCTATTCGTCCTTATTTTTCTTTATCGTTTATTTACAAAAAAAATGATTCATTATTTGCGAAAAACACAAAAAATAATCATATTATATATAGGGAAATTATAATTTTGGTCCTATATGTTGGTCTATTTAGGGATTTAGTCATATAAGTTGTCATATTTAATTTCACATGCAATAATTATGCAAATTATTATTTTTAGTCATGTTTCACTCGAACATTGAATTTTCCCTTCCCCTTTAATGATGTACCTAACCCCTCTCCCAGGAATTTATTTATATGGACACTTAAAAATTATAAAATGCTCATTTAATTTGGTTTATCGATGTGTCGTCTCACATAATTAAAGTTCTACCAATGGTAAGTTAGATGTCGAATTTATAAATTTTCAATCATCCATATAAGTAAAATGCATCACGTTTATTCGTCGCGTCATAAAATTAAAAATCATGCAAAATAGGACTAAAAATACTATATTTACAAAGTTAATTGTGTATAAAACTGAAACATGACAAGTTAGAGGAC